ATGTTTAAAAGAGTAAAGTAATTCTAAACATGTTTTTAGAGGCAGAAAGCACCTCCCCACCCCAGTCTTTCTTAAGAGCCCGCAGCAGATGCCAGCACGTAAGGAGATAAAGAGCTTATTGAAAGAAAACGCCAGCTATCTAGATGGCCCCATTCATAAGCAAGGCAAAATACTGCAGGCAGAAATCCGTTCAAGACGGATTTGCAGCAAAGTTTGACAGCTAAAAAAAAAAAGCAGAATGGTAGGATTAGAACAAGCATCCCCTCACCTAAGACCCAACACAGGACGAAAGCCTATTAGCCACATGAAGCCCAATATTGCACAAACCCCAAACTTCAAAGTTACAGAAACTAGAAAGATCCATCCACTTATTCAGCCAGTTCGGCTGACCCAGAGCCGCACGATTTCGTTGTGTGTGGCTTTGTTCAACATTAAACTTTCTTTCCAATCGGCCGCCATGTTGTTTCCGGCATCTTTCTCTCAGCTCGGAACTGAACCAGGTGGATTTTTTTTCCCCTCAACCCTGGGATGATGGGAAATAGTACATTTAAAGCTTCAGGAATAAAGGTTATCAGACTGAAACACCATCCAAAGCCAGAACAATTTGTACTAAGCACTTTTTTTTGCAATAAACAGCAATTGGGCAAAGCCCAAAAATCTAACCAGCCACATTATATAGCATTGCACAACGAGGAAACTTAACCTATATGGAAGTGGATAATCAAAACAAATGCTTGCTGTATCTGTAATGAATTAATGGCTTCCATCCAGAGACATTACAATAGATGCTATATATGCCCAAGAGATAAGAAGAGTTGATAGTTAAGGGGTTGATTTCTGTATGCTTATTTGGTTATGACTTGCAGGTTTGAAATAGGCCCTCGCAAATCTTAAGAGACCAATAAAACCTGCATTTCTAGGGCAGCCAGCTAAAATTAAACGTATCTCAAGGTTTTCAGGTGCTGCTAAAACTGGGGATTAAGAAGACATCTAAAGGAGAAGGAGCTCATTAAAAAATAAATAAATGTGAACACCTGAAACAAGAAGTCGCTAAGGAAAAGACATTTCCTACCAAAGAATTCATCTGTTCAGAAATGGATTTCTAGGGCAAGGTGCTTTTGACGTTTGGGGTTTTTTTAATCTCGGCTGCCATTTAGATATTTTATTATGTTGTGGTTGCTTAGGATGATTTTAACTCCCGTTAACTGCCCGGAGTTCAAGATTTGGAGATGCGCAGTCGTAGAAATGGAAAGAAATGGAGAGAAATAAACAAACTCCCGTGTCCTTTAAAAGTAGCTGGCCAGGATTTTGAGCAATAGGAACGCACACCTTAAGCCAAAAACAGAAGATATTTGCTGTCTGGTAACAGTGGAAAGAGCGGGGCTGGTGCACAAATCACACTTTGGACCCCCAGAAAAGCAGGAAAGAGGGGGGAAAAAACATAAGCAAAGAGAATCTTATCTTTTCAATGCTTC